TTAATCATTTAATTGATTAAAAAATGCAAATTTTTAAGTTATAGTTTCTTGAATTTTTATCTAACTTAAAGGTTACTTTGTATAAATAAATAGTTTTATTTATTACTTTAATTTCATTTCATTCAATTAGACTTTTTTTTTCTTTTTCAGAAAACTTGAAGAAAACAAAAAATGCAAATAAAATGATCAAAAAAAGTGTGCTTGTTTGGTTTTTCATATATTGTTTTGTAGTTTGGAGTAATATTTTATTTTCAACAACTTTAATTGATTTTTGCATGGCCTTAATAACCGGGAAGGGGAAAGACACAACAGTTTTACTAATATATACAATAGAAAAAAGGCTACTTTATGCTTCTACCCCCTCAATAATAACATATGATGACTATTTTTATTGCTTCACACAATATTTTGCTAGTTAGAGCCCCCCTAGTTAGAATAATCTAACTGTGTCTCGGGACAAGCCCTCACCACAGTTAGAATACGTCCCATATACTTGCAATGTAGCAAATCGGAGTGGATTCACTCCGAAATGATTTTGAAGGATACAAGAGAAGTTGCACTGAAAATAACTACCAAATTAATCATAACAAACCTTTTTGAGATGGTACATGTCTTTTAACCTAAAAAATAATCCATATAAATACGAAAATTCAACTCATTTTCTCAACGTTTTTTCCTCACTTCAAATTTAATGCCATGTTGACATTCGGAACTCTCTTGATTGTTCATAGAAAATACTCAGAGTACGAGTTATCGCCCGTGTTTATTTCGCAACATTGCCAATACACGGAACGAATTCTATCGTTAAACCGGGTCCGTAGGACAATATCATTTTAACGATAGAACGTTCTATCTAGTGCCCCCCCCCCCTCCCTTTCTCTCCAAACTTCACATGTGCCTGAAATAAATTGAACTAGCTTGAAAAGTCTTAATATTGACATTAAACATTATACCTTCTTTTCACTAAATCATAAATCCATTTCATAGGCTACTTGTGGAAAGGACTTTTCTTCTAACATCTTACCCTTTTTTGTAATGAATTCTTATTTTTTTTAATTACTCCTAAATTTATGTTTTAGTTCAAAAATCATATATTTTGAAAGAGAGAAGGGCGTTACGAATTTTATTAGAATTTGCATCTCCCTCGATCATAATTTTCATGTGACTTATCAGGAACATGCGGATGTAGTGGCAAGAGAAAATAAATAAGAAAAATTATATAAAGAAAAAAATATCATAAAAAATCATTATGGAGTTCCGTTGTAGAAGTAGGGCCCTGGAGCCCGTTTTACAAAAGAACTTACGACTAAGACCAAAAACTTAAGTTGATTTTAAAATTTTGCAAAATTAATGATTTTTTTTAAATTGCTAGCGTTAAAGTATCTTTCTACATACTTTTTAGAAAAAAGATTAAAACAATTTTCTATTTAAAATATATAAAGTAAAATTAAGTTATAAGCAGAATTAAATTTTGCTCTTGCTCTAGTCGTAAGTTCTTTTGTAAAACGGGCCACTGTCCTCAAGCACCCGTGATCCGTTTAGATCTGAGAGTTATGCGTTACGATTAAATAAAGTAAACACATGGAATTTTATCACCTAAGCCCAACTGAAAACATGGTAAACACTCACCAGTAAAATGTATAGGAACTTACGAAAGATGGAAATTATGCCATCTTCGATGTCTGCTCCCTAATCGATTAACATATTGCGCACACCGAGTCCGATCCTAAAAAACAGTATTGCATGATCCTCTTAATTTTAATTTAGCCCTATCATTCTTTGATATAATAAGCGACATGTCAGTAATAAGTGCATGATTATTATTTATTAGTATTTTTCTCAAGCTCATGGATGCTGTATTTTATTGCTAAGTATGTAATAAACATAGTAAAATCTATCTATCTATCTATCTAATCTATCTTATCTATCTATCTATCTATCTAATCAAAGTCAAAGGTCAAGGACATTACATTAAAAAAAATATCAATATCAATCTTTCAAGCAATTTGCGAAGGTCAAGGCCATTACATTTAAAAAATATCCACCTTTCAAGCAATTTGTGGTTTCTTTTCCATCGAATTTAATTGTAAACATTAAAAATTTTAAACAATATATTGAAATTCAAAGAAGGTGGAAAGACCTCTAATTGTTCTGTGAACAATTAGTCTACTAGTTATTATTATTATTCTTTTTCTTCCCGGACTTTTGAAACCACAAGACTTATCGAAAAACTTTATTGTTCATGATACTGGATATTAAAAGTTATTCCGAAAAACGACCCAACATGTTTGACCTATGACCTCTTACAAAGTTATTGCCCCTTTCGCAAGAATAGCTTGTTATCGCTACTCCTTCGAAACCGTAAATCGTAGAGATACAGAACCTTCACCAATGTCTTTGACTACTTGAGAGGACTTTTCAATCTATTCATTGCGAAATGATTTGTCGACCCCTTCAATGAGTTATTGCCCCTGAAAGTTTTTGAAGTTTACAAATAATGAAAATTTTTCAAAACGATAAGTCGTAGAGACATGGAACCAACTGCATTAGATTCTTTGACCTCAGACCTTGAAATTTTTGTAAAGGTCAAAGGTCAAGGTCATTCAAAATTTGAGAAATTAAGCTCTTTTTATATCTCTTTTGTCTTTCATTATATACTAAATCTCTTTGCATCTTTAATATGTACTCTTCAAACTATTTCAAAGATTTCATACTTGTCCCCTAAGATTTACCCTTTTAAAAGTTATTGCCCCTTTCATTGAAAACCTTGTTATCGCTACTACTCCGAAACCGTAAACCGCAGAGACACGAAACCTTCACTAATGTCTTTAGGGCCTTTAGACACAACTTCAATCTATTCAGTGCGAAAGGATCCGATGACCCCTTATATGAGTTATTGCCCTTTAACATCTTTGCTCTTACTATTCAACCTTATAACTTTGAAACTAAAAGTCGTAGAAGCATGGGGTCAAGTGCAATGTGACCCTTGACTTATGAACTTAAATAATTGTTCAAGGTCAAAGGTCAAGGTCATTTAATTTTTTTTTTTTAATTTCATTTTTTCCATCTCTCAAGCCATTTCTTGTTTCTTTTGTATAAAAATAAACAATAGAGAGTTAAATATGAAAAATATATGAAATTTAAAGAAGGTGGAAAGACCTCTAATTGTTCGAGAACAATTAGTCTACTAGTTATTATTATTATTATTATTATTATTTTTCCGCTACGGCCTTTTGAACCGAAAGACTTATCGAAAAACTTTATAGTTCATGATACTTGACATCAAAAGTTATTTCGAAAAACTACCCAACGAGTATGACCTATGACCCCTTTCGGAGTTCTTGCCCCTTGTACGAAAAACCTTGTTATCGCTACTCCTTCGAAACCGTAAACCGTAGAGGTACGAAACCTTTACCAATGTCTTGGACTACTTGAGAGGACTCTTCAATCTTTTCATTGCGAAAGTATTCGTCGACCCCTTTTATGAGTTATTGCCCCTGAAAGTCTTTGATGTTTACGAATAATTAAAAATTTTCAAAATGATAAGTCGTAGAGACATGGGACCAACTGTATATGATTCATTGACCTTTGACCTTAAAATATAAGCAAAGGTCAAAGGTCAAGGTCATTCAAAAATTGAGAAATTAAGCTCTTTTTACAGCTCTTTTGTCTTTCAACATATACAGTATATCTTTGCATCTTTTATATGTACTTTTAAAACTATTTCAAAGATTTCAATCTTGTCCCCTAAGCTTAACCCTTTTAAAAGTTATTGCCCCTTGTGCGAAAAACCTTGTTATCGCTACTCCTCCGAAACCGTAAACCGCAGAGACACGAAACCTTCACTAATGTACTCAGGGACTTTAGACACAACTTCAATCTATTCAGTGCAAAAGTATCCGGTGACCCCTTATATGAGTTATCGCCCTTTAACGTCTTTGCGCTTATTAGTAAACCTTATAACTTTAAAACTAAAAGTCGTAGAAGCATGGGGTTAATTGCAATGTGACCCTTGACCTTTGACCTTGAATATGTGTTCAAGGTCAAAGGTCAAGGTCATTTCAAAATTTTTAAAATTTTCATTTTTTCCATCTCTCAAGCCATTTCTGGTTTCTTTCCTATAAAAATAAACAGTAGAGAGTTAAATGTGAAGAATATAGGAAATTTAAAGAAGGTGGAAAGACCTCTAATTGTTCGAGAACAATTAGTCTACTAGTTTATTCAGTAATGCTCTCGATTTCAGGAAAGCAGCAGCACTTTTCAAGTTAAGGAATGTTTCCGTTATGCATATTTAAAAAATGGTCAAGATCTATTAAGTGTATGCCCTTGCGAAAAGGCAAATTATTGAGGCACCTCGGCGTGAAACATGCACACCCAGTACACAAAAACACGGTAGAATTAATTCAATACATTCTCTCGATAGTTTTTAAATAATGGCACTAAACAAAGGTTTCAGATTTGTATTAATGGTCTACCTAAGATTTGCAAATAATATTCTGCTTAATAATAAAATGCGTTTTCCACTGTGGTTAAATTAATTGGTCCGCCTCTCACTGCACATGAAATGCGTCAAATTTTACTATGATGACGTCATGTCGACAAGTGGATTGTGATCAGTGACTTGTTTATATCTTGCTGTGTGGGATTTAACTAGCGACAAAAATGAATGCAGTGGTAAGTTTTGATGTAGTTTATCACTCTCATGCAGCTTAAAACCTCAAATTATTTCATTTTCTGTTGTTGTGAGGAATTGCTATATTTGTGTGATGTCACAGTAGACATTTCCCGTATAAATTAAGCCCCGCCCCCTTTATGCAGCCTTAACAGAGCTGCGCAATAAAATTGCATTAGGACTAGAAAATGTAATAAGGCACAAGACAAACCTTTTGTTTTGCTTAAATTCTTCAATTGTAAAAGGTAGATTATATATCTTACCTAACAACACTTGATATGGACTATGCCTCACATGTACATGTATCCATTACTGTCTAATTTTACAGATATATGAGACAGGTTCCCACACAAAGACAGCTGTCTGGACTAAATCTGGTAGTCAGTGGAATACCTGGATTCAGTCCTGTGTGGATTTGTCAGACTATGTGGATAAATCAGTCCAGATTTCCTTTATAGCTGTCAGGGGTTCAGGACCACTGGGAGATATTGCTATAGATAATGTGGAGATGTTAGAACAATGTGCAACTACATGTAATATGTGTGATAGTGCTTTTTTAATATAATGATATCGTTATTGGCAAAAGTCAAACTGAAAATATTACTTGTAATAGAATGTGTTACATGATTCTAAACTGCACCTATTCCTTTAGATTTTTTTTTTTGGATTTGAATATGTGGTTAAAATATAGTCTGCATTAATTAAGATATATTATTTAATTTTATATAATTTAATTTTATATATTATTCAATTTAAGTTCCATCAAATGATATTTCTGATGTACTAGAAGTAGAAAATCTAAAATTTCAAAGGGTTTTTAAGAGAAAGCATATTAAGTGTAAAATTTCAGTCTTGATTTTGCACATTCTTTCCCAACATTAATTTTGACTCTTAATGTTAAGTTTCAGATTCAATCAGTTGTGATTTTGAGAGTCAGTGTGATTACAAACCTGTTATTTCCCTCGTCGAATGCAATCCCTCCTCCTTAATTTGGAGAAGATCTCAGCCAGCATTGGATGGTAGTTTCCCATGGGCAGACCACACCTTGCAGTCTGCATATGGTAAAAATTAATATAGGTTGTGAACTTGAGCTCAGATGCAGCAGGGTTTAATTATAATAACTGATTTATTAAAATGTCAGAAAATGTCCATAAAAAAAGGTATTTGGAGTGTTGATTGCAATCACTTTAACCATTCATTGTACAGTGTATATTGATTTCAATAAGATTTTGATTCATTTAAATGAATATAAATGACTACAATATCAAATAATTTTATTTATATGTGAGAATACCATCTGTTGAGTGTTTAATCAATTGCTGTTTTGGACCTTGTGGTAATAAGTAAAACTTAACTGATATATGATTTTGCATTTCAAAAAAAAAAACAAAAAAAAACAACATATGATTGTATGTAACAGCTTCATCTTGAATGGACCTTTTTACATGTATTTTGTAGGACACTACTGGGCTGTTGGACATTATTCATCTCGGATGTCTGTCCAGGAAGGTGATATGACCATGTTGGTCTCCCCTGTGTTTTCGCTTAGAGAGACAGACATCATTAATTTCCATTTTGCAAAAGGAGATGAGTCAAAACTTAAAGTTGGCTATATTTCAGCTTCAGGTATGACTATAGAAGGAATAAGGTTTAATAGTATACCAGGTGACTCTCTGAATATCTCAAAATTTGCTGGACCATGGTAAAACTTTAAGACATCAAGAGATTGATTTTCCAGAGTCCAGTAATCTACTAGTTTTTGAAATTTATCTAATCCAAAATTGTTGATTCTCATTCATAACATTGCTTATAAATTGCACTCATGTTCTCTAACAATGATCTCTCTTGAAATATCAGATCTAGAGATCATATGACAATTTTATTCATAGGAAAACAACAAAAGTGGCAGTTTTATACACTGCATGTATAAAAGCTAGCACCAGAAAAGAAAATATGTCATAATTATTTTCCAAATATTTAGCAACAGAATTCATGTATTTTCATCACATCCTCATGATGTTAGCCAAACTTAAGATGATCAGAGGTATAGATATGAAAACTACATTATTATTAGTTTGTTTTTGTTTTTTTTTTTTTGTTTTGTTTTTTTTAAATTTGCCCAAATTTTATTTTCTTGCACTTTTATTGTCATTTAGCAAATTCTAAATGTGGCACAGTCAACATACATACTTTATATGTCTCTGAAAATACAATGATGTATTGGAATGGGGAATTCAGTCATTTGCTATTATAATTGAGTGAAATTTATGCAAGGCAAAAATAACCCTGGATGAATTACACATGAAAAATTGTTAAAGAGCTACAATTTTTACAAAGATTGGTTATTGCTACATGTATCTTCCATGTATGTTATTTTTACCCATGAAATCACCCATTAGGTTTATTTGGCATATGGGTGTTGCCATTATGACCACTGTGACTCCGACCTTTGAATTCAGAAGAGATGTAACTTTTTAAAAACATTTCTACAATTATACTTGAACTTCTTTGGCCCAGACATGATATCTCAAAGTTAAATTTGGTTGTGTTCCAGATGACAAGATTTGACCATATAGCAGTTTTTAAATTAGCAGTTATTTTTGCTATGCTTCATTTTTGTAAATTTGAGAGTGTTTTTAAAATTTTTCAGAACTGTCTCCAAATTCACGATTTCCCAATGTAACAGAGTTTTCAGATTCTTACACTGGAGTCAAAACATTATGGTCATCTGTAAACACCATTCCAATATGGACTCCAGTGTGTTTAATGCCAGGACAGAACCTCAGTGACATCGTGTTGGTGTTTGTTTTTGAATGTGGTTCCTTCAGATCTGGCTGTTTTGCTGCTGTTGATGATGTTAGTGTGAACACAACTAATAAATGCACAGGTATAAAAACAGGAACTTGATAACATTGGTTTTAAAATTTCAGTGTTTCAAGCTTTCATTTAATAATCGGATGTTAATAATAGTTTTCAAAACTGCAAACAAAATCTTGTGTGAATGTAAACTTGCTTTTGTTAGGCAGCATGCTTCCAAAGAACATTCAGATATATAAGGGGTTCTTACATTTTTTTGCCCTTAGCTGGATTCACAGAGAGTGGTTGTTCCTTTGACGTGCCCGGTCATTGCCAAGAAACCTTCAGTTCTGTGGGCTCCTCTAACTTGTTTGGCCCAGAATTTATGTGGTATCACCGAAGGATAATAGGAACTCCTTATTCCTCACCCTCTTCAGCATCAGTTCCAGGTATTTTAATATCATTATATCAATTAAACTTTGGGCAAGGTAATCATTTTTCATCTTGTTGACACAATGTTGAGTGTGTAAATTTTTATGCTAAGTAAGTCTATGAGTAATTTTTTTTTATACATGTAAATTGGAAAAAGTGGCACTAGCAAATAGCATATCTAGGGGAAATTTTTATGATGATGAGTTGGTGAAAGTAAGATAATTACAAGGGTATTTGTATATGGCTTGGTTCACATTTTATTATTTTGAATGATGCCTTGAATGATTATATATAAATGAACATAAAGTTTTCAGCAACTTGATAGGGTCTGCATTTTAGGTCAGAGTGAATAGGAAAGATTCTCCAATGGGTTTAGAGTCCTAGTTGAGGCTAAGTTGTTCATACTGTATGTTGAGAAATATCTGAAGAAACTTTAATTTAATGTGAACCTGCATCTTTCTGTCTTTTTCATAGGCATGCCCAGTACATACCCATTTGGAGGTTTCATGTACACTAGTTCAGGGCATGGAAAATATAGAGACACAGCTACAATGAGTCTTCCATCATTCATGGCTGCCAAGGATTCCTCGATAAGTTTTAAGATGTACATGTATGGCCATGCCAATTTACATGTCACAGCTGATATAAGTTCTGGAGCCCAGGTGAACTTTGTTACCTACCGTAGTGCTGTATCCGGATGGTTTGATGTGTGTCTTGATCTTTACGAGGGAGAAGTGAGTCAAGTGTCGTTCACTACAGCCAGAAGCTCAGATCCATTCAGTCTCGTTGCTGTTGATGAAATCACTTACAATGATACATCATGCCCTAGTTAGTATTAGCAGTAATATCAGGGTTTATTGTCAGTGCAACATATTTCAAACATATACTGTATAAGCAAAAATTTTAGTGAAGATTTAGTTTTTGCATTTTTAGCAAGGGTGTTGAGATCGCTAAAATTAAATACGCTAACAATTCATTCCAATTTTGAGATTATTTTTCTTTACACCATAAAATCACTAAAATAACTTCTTGCTGAGATTAAATGCTGATTTTTAAGGACAAATCGCTAAACTTGTAGTGTATATTACATTGTTTAAATATACATATTTGCTTATACATGCTTAATAGTGAAAAAAAATCAGATATCTTTGTCTTAGTTCTTTCCCATTTTAATTGCATTTCATTCATTTAAAATTGATTTCATGTATGCAAGATAATCTTTTTTCTATCACAATAGAGGCATCAGTCAACTGCACATTTGATGAGGATTTTTGTGGATACATAAAAAATTCAGACTGGACTCTGCAAAAACGGTCCAATTCCTCTAATGGTAAGATACTTGTAAAATAGCAAGAATGTGTTGTCTATTCATTTGATTTAATTCTTTTTTAGGTCACATGAATTACTAATGTGACCTATTGCTGTCTCTTTTTTTCCCTTGATATGCGTATTGCATTAGTAGGATTGGTACAGACCATGAAAAGTGCTTGAATTTTGACCCAGTATATGAAAATGTTTAGATAGTGCATCATAACCCCCAAGGGTAGGTGGTTCCACAAGGGGCAATTAAAGTTTATACTTAATAGATAAACGTAAGAAACTAGAAATATGTCCATAGGACATGAATGCCCCGCCAAGGGTATATTAGTAATGCAACATTTTAACACAAATTGAGAAAAGTGAGGTCAAGGTCAAAGGAAAGGTCAAGGTCAAAAAATATTGCTGCAGTTGAATAGCTTACATCAGTATGTATCAGCATATGACGTTTGATTCAGAAACTAATTTAAGAAAAGTGAGGTCAAGATCAAAGGAAAGGTCAAGATCAAAAAATGTTGATGTAGTTGAAAAGGTTACATCAGTATGTATTAGCATATGAAGTTTGATGAAAATATTATGAATGGTTTCTTTAAAACTGAGCTAAACACTAATTTAAGAAAAGTGAGGTCAAGGTCAAAGGAAAGGTCAAGGTCAAAAAATATTGATGCAGTTGAATAGCTCTCATCAGTATGTATCAGCATATGAAGTTTGACACTAATTTAAGAAAAGTGAGGTCAAGGTCAAAGGAAAGGTCAAGGTCAAAAAATGTTGATGCAGTTGAAAAGGTTACATCAGTATGTATTAGCATATGAAGTTTGATGAAAATATTATGAATGGTTTCTTTAAAACTGAGCTAAACACTAATTTAAGAAAAGTGAGGTCAAGGTCAAAGGAAAAGTCAAGGTCAAAAAATATTGATGCAGTTGAATAGCTCTCATCAGTATGTATCAGCATATGAAGTTTGACACTAATTTAAGAAAAGTGAGGTCAAGGTCAAAGGAAAGGTCAAGGTCAAAAAATGTTGATGCAGTTGAATAGCTCTCATCAGTATGTATCAGCATATGAAGTTTGATAACACTATCTTGAATGGTATCTTTAAAACTGAGCTAAAAACTTATTTAAGAAAAGTGAGGTCAAGGTCAAAGGAAAGGTCAAGGTAAAAAATATTGATGCAGTTGAATAGCTCTCATCAGTATGTATCAGCATATGAAGTTTGTTAAAAATATCTTGAATGGTTTCATTAAAACAGAGCTAAACATTAATTTAAGAGGTCAAGGTCAAAATAAAGGTCAAGGTAAAAAAAATGTTGATGCAATTGAATAGCTTACATCAGTATGTATCAACATATGAAGTTTGATTACACTATCTTGAATGGTATCTTTAAAACTGAGCTAAACACTAATTTAAGAAAAGTGAGGTCAAGGTCAAAGGAAAGGTCAAGGTCAAAAAATGTTGATGCAGTTGCATAGCCCTCATCAATATCTATCAGCATATGAAGTTTGATAAAAATATCTTGGATAGTTTCTTTGAAACTGAGCTTTGAACAGAGCTAAACGCAAAGTGTGACGGAAGGACGGAAGACGGACATGACAAACACTATATGCCCCGGCCATATTCATGGCGGGGCATAAAAATCTTTTTTCCCAAGAAAAGCAAAGCATAAACCATCAAATTTATAGGGAAGAGTCCACAGGTATTGTATATTCAAATTTATTCAATTCATAACCCTCCTGGCATAGGGTGGGGCCACAATGGGCGATCAAAGTTTTAAATAGGAATATAGAGGACTTTTTTTGATGAGTGGTCATATCTATAGGGAAGCATCATCAGGTAGTATAGATTCAAGTGTATTCAAATCTTGACTCCAAGGGGTAGGTTAGGCGTACAGTTGGGCAATCTGTTTTACATAGGAATATATAAGAAAAAGAATCCACTGATGAAGAACAAGAATGGCCATAGTTACTCAGGTGAGCTTTGTGGCCCATGGGCCTCTAATGAAATTCTGTTTCCCAGCTGGGTGAGGGAAGTTGATCATATCTTGTAAATGGCCAAATGCTTTTTTATGACTTAAAATTGTAGAACCAGACCCACTTACCACAACATACGAAATGGGCAGGCACAACAATAGGACTCTTGAGCTTATCTTTTTTAATTTTTTTCAAATTTGAAGTTGATAAGCAGCTCTTTTTGTGATTGTTTTCTTAATGTTTACACATAGTTATATATATTTATATTTATATTATATATTTTATACCCCTGCTTTGAAGGAGCTCCAAAGGAGAGGGGTATACTGTTTTACCCCTGTGTGTCTGTGTGTCCATAACAAATTTTTCATTACAGTTTTTTCTCAGCAACTACTCATCACAGATGCTTGAAATTTTAGCACACACTTTTTTGAGGCATGCCCTATGGTGGAATTCTTTTTTGTGTGAATCCAATGTCAACTTACTGTTTATCTGTGTGTCTGTCTGTACCATACATAAGAAATTTTCGTCACATTTTTCTCAGCAACTACTCATTGCAGATGCTTGAAATTTTAGAAAATTATGTAGGGGTATGCCATATGTTGGGATTCATTTTTATATATTAATCTGATGTCACCTTCCTGTTTATCTGTGTGTCTGTCTGTACCATACATAACAAATTTTTGTCGCATTTTTCTCAGTTATTATTCATTGCAGATGTTTGAAATTTTAGCACACTTTTTGTTGAGATATGCAATAAATTGGGATTCACTTTTGTATGAATCTGATGTCAACTTCCTGTTCATCCCTGTGTCCATAACCGAACTTGTGTACATTCAAATTAGATTGTATATTCACTTCAAAGCGGGGGTATTCCTAGTGAGCATTGGCTCACAGACTTCTTGTTTTATCTAGGTGGGTTCCATGCTGAGGCTAAGAGATTGGGATACTCTGGATATTTTACATCACTTGTGTCTCCTCTTGTCACTGGAGTGTCCGACCGTTCATGTGTCCAGCTGGAATATATGTTGGGCAATGAATTTTCAAATAATCTCACTGTGACGTAAGGCAACAGTTATTTACATGTATATGCAAAATGAAATGTGGATATAAGATGTGTTAGCCATTTCTACTGTTAATGAATAGAAAATAAATGTGTGTGTTAAAGGTAAGGGAGGGGTGTATTTTGCCTTCGTACCAGTGTAAAACATTATTACCCATTGAGATAATTATTAAAGTTAAACTGATTGGTCAAGAGCAAATCTTACAGAGAGAGACAATATTTGATATACTCACAGGCTAACAATTGTTTCTCTTTAGAAAACAAGAAAATGATGCAAGAAAAATACTAAAATCTAATAGTGATGTTAATGTTGCTAATTAATATATTTTCAATGGCATCAAAGCCAAATTCAGTTAATATGTTTGATTTAATTTAAATTCTTCAGGACAATAAATTTTAATGGACTTTTTATGGGATACATCAAAAATTACTTTACTTACTCATGTAACATCTAGAACAGCAAAACTATAAGTTTATGTGTTTAGAAGTATGTAAAGTTCAATAAAAATAACTAGTCAAATATTAATCATTTATTAATGGCATACTAAAGTCTTATTTTAATATACATGTACTGTGTAAATGATTTGTAAAATAGATAATACACTTTCCAGAATGATTCATACCATGTGAGTTTGTTGCTAAGTTGCTGATGTCCATTACATATGGTAATATGACAGCTAGCTGTCATATAAATATACATTGTATGTTATACAAATGTTGTAGATTTATGGATGCAGAAATGGGGAGAAATGAATCGTGGAATGCAGATATTTCCAACAGTGGACAGTGGAAGTGGCTGAATTTGTACTCAAATTTTAAGTCGTACTATATTGTTGTGATGGCAAGAATTGGATACTACAGCATAATCAGGATAGACAACTTAAAAGTTACCCCTGGAGATTGCCCTCAGATAGGTATATAGTAGCAATTCTAAGAAAGGGGGGGGGGGTTAAAGAGTTATTCATATCGGTACAAAATTTTTGAAATTTCTGACATTTTGTAGTTTTCATTTCCAACATTTTACTGCCATGTACATTAGTTGCAGCTTGATTTCTGCGATGCAATAGGTTCATCAGTCTCGAGATCTGAGCGAAAGAAATATTCTTTGCCATTTTTAGCTCACCTGAGCCGAAGGCTCAAGTGAGCTTTTCTGATCACATTTTGTCCGTCGTCCGTCCGTCCGTCTGTCTGTCTGTCTGTCCGTCCGTCTGTAAACTTTTCACATTTTTGACTTCTTCTCAAGAACCACTGGGCCAATTTTGACCAAACTTGGTACAAAGCATCCTTGGGTGAAGGGGAATTTAAATTGTTAAAATGAAGGGCCAAGTCCCCTCACAAGGGGAGATAATCAAGAGAAGACAAAAATAGGGTGGGGTCATTAAAAAATCTTCTTCTCAAGAACCACTGGGCCAGAAAAGCTGAAACTTATATGAAAGCATCCTGGGGTAGTGTAGATTATAAATTGTTCAAATCATGACCCCCGGGGGTAGGGCGGGGCCATAATAGGGAATCCAAGTTTTACATTGAAATACATAAGAAAAATCTTTACAAATCTTCTTCTCAAGAACCACTGGGCCAGAAAAACTGAAACTTATATGGAAGCATCCTGGGGTAGTGTAGATTATAAATTGTTCAAATTATGACCCCCGGGGTAGGGCGGGGCCATAATAGGGAATCCAAGTTTTACATTGAAATACATAAGAAAAATCTTTACAAATCTTCTTCTCAAGAACCACTGGGCCAGAAAAGCTGAAACTTATATGGAAGCATCCTGGAGTAGTGTAGATTATAAATTATTCAAATCATGACCCCCAGGGGTAGGGCGGGGCCACATTAGGGAATCCAAGTTTTACATTGAAATATATAAGAAAAATCTTAAAAAATCTTCTTTTCAAGAACCACTGGACCAATAAAGCTGAAACTTATTTGGAAGCATCCTGAGGTAGTGTAGATTCCAAATTGTTCAAATCATGACCCCTGGGGGTAGGGCGGGGCCACAATAGGTATATTAAAAGGGTGGAAATCTGGTAAAGAACAGCATGGCCAAAGTTACTCAGGTGAGCGATGTGGCCCATGGGCCTCTTGTTAAGTGCCTGTTTTTCAGATTATGAGGTCGAATTTTCTCTAGCCAAGCACAACGTAGTAACCCTTGGACTTCCGGTCCAAGGAATTCCTGAATTGTAAAAATGTGAATGTTGGAAATGAAAACAAAAAATATCGGAAATGCAATTCCAAATTTTGGAAATGAAATGCAGCTTACAAAGATTTGTTCAGAACTATGTTCTGTTCATAACGGATGCCTGTCAGGTTCCTGACATGTTTTACAGAGTGTTCCAGTGATCAGTTGGTGTGTGGCAGTGGAGACCAGTGTTACTTAGCTAGTGGGATTTGTGATGGACGCCCTGATTGCTGGGATCAAACTGATGAGATAGGATGTGGTAAGAGAGAAGCTGTTGTGTAATGTAATGGAAGAAATATTCAGTTATGTATGTATTTAAAGCTAAAAATGATTCATAAAAGGAATCTGTCTGCCATATTTCTCAACTTATCACATTACCCAGAACCCCAATACTGTAAAATCACATATTTTTGTGGGGTCAAATTTTCGAGGAAAAAATATATTGGTTTGTGGAGATTTGATTTTGTGGTTGGAAAATGTTTAGTAGGAATGAAATATATGGAGATAACAAACAGTATTCAAGCTCAAAAGTCCATTAAACAATACAAAATAGGAGCAGAGCAAACACGGACCTCTAAACATCAGAGGTGGGATCAGGTGCCATGGAGGAGTGAGCATCCCCTGCCGACTGGTCACACCCGCCGTGTGCTCCTTGTCATGATCGGTAAATAACGGAAAAATCCATCGACAATTCAGTGTGTAAATAATGGCCTAACAATTAGTATGAAAAATGTCAGTCAGCATTTCACTCAATGTTAAATTGTATTTGCTAACAAGGTCATTGTATCAACCATAGGACTTACGAAATGATGACTTTAAACGAGACAGCTGATATTCTTGTTTCATCAACTTATTTGTCAATAATTTACCTCATTTTAGAAATTGTACATATGTAGAGCATGCTCTTGTGTATCGAATCAACTGAGAGATATATACCCCCTATGCAGGTGATGAAGGTATATTGCTGCATAAGTAAGGAAAGTTGACGATTGAAAAGTTAAAGTCATCACGTTTATCATAAAGCTTGGTTATTAGATTACCATTAACGTCTTTTTCAAGTAAAATATCCAAATATGAAACAGATGTGTCAGACTCTGTGGTATCTTTTATCTCAAGCTCACCAGGATATATCGTATCGACATAAGAATGGAAACAGCCATTGTTAATTGACAATACATCGTCGATATATCTAATTGTCGAGTTAAAGGCCACAGCAAGCGTTTTCTTCTTTTCACGTACAAGATTTTGGACAAATTCTGCTTCATATGAATACAAAAAAAGGTCTGCTAATAAAGGGGTGCAATTGGTACCCATGGGAATTCCAATAGATTGTTGGAAGACCTGGTCTCCAAAAACCACATAAATGTTGTCAATCAGAAACTCAAGCATCTTTTTAATGTCAACTTCAGAGTACTTGTGTGTACAATCAGAATGTGTTTTAACAAAATAATTTTGCAAATGACCAATGACAAGGTAAGTATATTTACGAGTTCCATTTTTATTGAAAAAGTAGCTGTCAGTTATATCAAAAAGCCTGGAACTTTAATTTATCGTGGGGAATGGTTGTGTATAAAGTAGAAAAATCGTAAGTTTTGAAGCTATTGATTTTGGTAAAATCTTGTGATTTTTTATTTTCCAAAAGTTCCTGGAATTTTTAAGTATCCACATCTGATTTGTAACAAGTAATCTTTTTCCTAAGTGTGACTTCATGATGCCATTCCAATACAAAATTTATTCAAAATTTTACATTCCTGAACTCTCTGGCCTTGTTTTAATGACCTTTGTTAAGGTTCATGACATATCAACTCTCATGCCAAGTGTTATTTTCTAATGTAACAATGTTAAAGAGAATCACCAAACCATGACCAAGTGAATGGATGAATCAGATCCAACCATCTGATTAGTAGTAATGCATATGAAATTTTACATTTTGTGGTGGTTATAACTTCGTAGGTCTCTCCATACCTCAAAAACAACGAAAATTATACCCCCGCGAAAATTACTGATTTCACAGTATAAGCCATTCACTTGGTCATGGTTCAGTGATTCTCTTTAACATTGTTACATTAGAAAATAACACTTGGCATGAAAGTTGATATGTCATGAACCTTAACAAAGGTCATTAAAACAAGGCCAGAGAGTTCAGAAATGTAAAATTTTGAATAAATTTTGTATTGGAATGGCATCATGAAGTCACACTTAGGAAAAAAGATTACTTGTGACCAAGAGTTCTGTTTTGATAGTTTGTATAAGGTCATGGTGATGACTCAGAAGTTAATTATTCTTTGGACCTTATATTGTTATTTGTAGAACTGTTTATGGTCATACTTTCATACTTAACACAAAAATTGTTTATGAAGAAAGATGTTAGAACCGTGAACAAATTGAGTCATGTATGTTTTAAATTCTCAACAGGAAGCAACAGTGTAGACTGTGACTTTAACAAAGTATACCTCTGTGGATACCATGGTCAGAACATCAGACAAGATTATAAAGTGGATCACACTAGAGAACTGAATCCAACAAACAATGCCACGGGAGGTCAGTAGATTAAATGTATCGTTATATTTAGCTCGCCTGAGCCAGTCTCTGACTTTAAAAAGAAGTCTGATCTACATTTATCTTGGGTGTGTATGTATAAGGTTTAGATGGAAGGGAAATAATGAAGTAAAACAAATAGGGAGAAGTCATTCCAAATTCCTTTTTTCAAAAATTGCTAAGTCACAAAAGAAACTTGCATGTGTGGGGAAAACTTCTTAATTAGTATAGAATAAAATGTGTTCAAATCATGGCACTGGGGGATTGGGTTGGGCTACAAAAGGGATCAGTTTCTATGAAAATCTATAGGAAAAAACTATAATTATCTTCTCAAGAAACAACTGTCCGTAGTTACATAAAGATACAAGCATCTCCATGTAGTGTTAATATACAAATGCCTTAAAACACTGTAGATTCAAGTTTCTTCAAATCAGGGCCCCAAGCTAAAGGATAAGGCCTTAAAAAGGAACAAAGTTATAATAATAAGTTGAAGAAAATATTTTAAATTTCTGATGAACAGCAGAAGGATGAGAAGTAGCAATAACAAAATGCAAGAACACTCATTTGGATTCAAGTACAGTAAAACCTGTCTAAGTCGGACACCAATGGTTCCAAAGAAATTGGCTGGATTAGACAACATTCCGGATTAGACAACATTTTAAACAAATGAATTTACTGAAAAGGACTTAAAGTTTACATCATATTAGGCAAGATTTTAGATCAGACAACATCCGGATTAGACAAGTTTCATTGTATTTAAATTATCATTTGCTTTGGATGCTGCATTTTCTAAATAAGTGAATAGTTTGTAATAAGTTTTTGGAGCAGTTTCATTCTCAAGTAACTGTAAGCCCTACCATGACCAGCTTTTAAGGGTGATCCATTAAGTGATGCACACAAGAGTTGCTTTGGATGAATTGAAGCAGGTTTATTCACAAGCAACTTCAGTGTATATAAGTCCTATGGTGACCAACCTTGCATTGAAGATGCATCTAAGGACAAATGCTACAGACTTGCTTCGGATGCTGGATCTGTCCTACATTTTTCAGGAGATTGAACAGGTGAAAGTTTAAGGGCTGGTCCATTCCCAAGTTAATATAACCACATGATGACTTGATAATGCCTGTTACTTGAGATGCATACTAAGATACATGATTCTTTTTATCACTTTTGATTTCGATGAATGGTGTTGCCATGGTTACTAAAAATAGAAATTTCTGTAAAATACTTTCAAAATGCTACTCCTCCTATAGTTTTGGTCTGATTTCAATATAACTTGGCACACAAGTAGACTACACTAAGATACAAAATTCTATTGGTTTTTGATTTCAATGAACCAACACAAAACAAAAAACAATAATATACTTTTCACAGAAATCTATCTAAAATAAAAGGATTTCGTGTCAATTACACCTTCTTAATTTGTTAAATGTGTTGAAATTGTGGGGTTGGATATATGTTTGAAAATGAATATACAACTGCACTCAGATTTTTTTGTTCATTGGTATGAAACCTGAGATAAGAGGCCACCTGTCTTAAGTGGCAGGTTTGTCATTCTCCCACAAGTGGCCTCTTAAAACTGGTGCAACTGCACTTCATTGTACTACGGTGTCAATTTTTACCCAAATCATTAATAAATTTATGAACTTATTTTTTGGTAATTTTCAGCGGCTGTCTCTATTGTTTACTACTCGTTTATGATTGGATTGTTGAAGGCACCAGTTATCAATGTAACGACAGACTCCTGTCTGACCTTCTACACAAGAGCCACTAACTACAGATCATACGTGTCTCTTCTGCGAGTTATTAGGAACGACACTGACACTCTGACATCACTGGCTGAATTCGACACATCCGTCCGAAATAAGTGGCTCAGTAGAAGCGTAAACATCTTTAGCGGAGAGCTAACACTCATGTTTGAGTTCTCTCCCCTTCACATTACTCAAACAAGTGCCTCAGATGGAATGTATATTGATGATGTTCAACTCACAGAAGGATATTGTGAAAAACAAGGTACAGAATGATGACTGTTAACAGAAAAAATTGAAAGATTCTTGTTAAATGTGTTTATTGAATTTCAAAAAATATATATATATATATATTTGAAAGAATCTCTCCAGTGTCATAAAGTCAAACTTTATTAAATTATGTAATTAGGGAAAAAAAAACTAGTACAAATAGTTGCAGTATTTACTGTTTAAATAGACATTTAATTTCAATTTTATTTTGGAAATCCACGACTGTCAGGGATAGCCTTTGAGGTTATTGTGTCAAAAAGTTTGGTCTTCTATTCTAATAAATTTATTACTTATAATTGATATTTCATTTAAAAATAATTCTGCAGAATTGTTTAGCCTGATGTGTTTATATAAGCATGAAAATTTAATAAAATTGATGTAACTGACATTAGAACAAGTTTCAACCCTGCACAAAATCTAGGATAACTTAAAAAAAAGAGGCAGGATTTTGATACAGTTTAGGACAACTGTTGATTTTATGTGTGTATATAAACTGACAAAAGTCTACTGTGGAGTAGAGGATACATTACTTGTATATATATTTTTAAATTTTAGTATGTAAATCCACGGAGATCTACTGCAGTGTTGAGGATGTGTGTTTATCCTCCATTGTTAGATGTAATGAACAGAATGACTGCATAAATGGGGAGGACGAACGTGGCTGTGGTACTTTTATTTATTCCATTTTATTTTTTTAGTATTGTATATACTGTACAAGTTTTACTGATATTGTATGATATTGCATACAAGGATTTTTTTCTGTTATCATATTTTCAATTTAACATTTGATTAATAGATTTGTTACAATGGTGAATTCCAAATTTCCAATAAATAATAAATTTCTCAATGCACCAAATGGCAAAAAAAGTCTAGAAATCTTTCATTTGAAGATCGAATTAAATGAAATGTAGTAATATAGAAATGTAGGTGTAGTTTTTATGTATATAAGAGTTTGCAGCTGTGATATTTTTTTTTTATTTCAGTATTTAGCATTACATGTGACTTTAATGATGAAGATTTGTGTGGATATTATGGTAACTGGACCAGAACCAATAGACTAGAGGGCCTTAATTCCACCAACAATACTGAAACAGGTAAATAATTAGCAAATATAATTTATACATGTTATGATTTTTTTTAAAGCCTTACTTAAAAAGAAAAATATGGATTGCAGGTTAATTGTAAAGCAAAATCAGGTTTAAAGATTCACAATACCTGTCATTTTACCTGTCATTTAGTCCATTTGTATATCAATCTGCCATCTCAATATCCCAAACTGCCTTAGCTGTTGTAAGCAATGTATAATCTTCACACAAGGGTTAATGAGGATGATACAACCAATGGGGTTGACCTTGGACTTGAACTTTGACAAAAATAAATAAATGAATAGTTTTTCCCGGTATATCTCTCAAGGATGGCCAATTCTGGTTGTCTTTTTTTCATCACACATAGGCTTATTTTTTTTAATACCACAATTATGTAGATTCTTGATCTTTGAATTGAAGTACATGTAGTACATCTGTTTAAGATGAACCAGTTCATTCAAATATATATGCCTACTGAAATTTTTACCATCAGAAATTTTCACCAGAGTTGACCTTAACTTTATTTGACTTGATCCTCCTTGAGAGTGGTAAAATAAAACATGCTTTCGTCTTTTGCCAATGACTTGCTAATGTTTGATTATCTCAATTCCACTGGTAGGTAGAATGGGATGAGAGGATTTGGATTACCCTTGACCTTTAACCTTGTAATTGGTATATTTCTCAAATTTATCTGTGTTATTTGTACCATTGTCTCCTAACTTCACACTGAGCTGTACAGAGATAAAGTGACAGAGTAAATATACATAGCTAACAAAATTGACCTTAACCTTTGACTTTGAGCTTGACTTAGCATGACATCTTTGACTTCATATAGGTAAAATAACTTAGGAGATCAGGCTGCATGTAGCAATAGCAGGGTTCAACTTTGCCCTGACATTTATTATACCCTCCACTTGAAAAACATGAGTGTACAGTGATGGGGGTGTCCATCCTTCCATACTTTCTTTTGTATGTCCACTTGGGGGTACCAATCTCTAATCTGCAACTTCTTCCATACCAATAGAATTTAACGTTACATAATGAGTCAAAATCATGTGTTTCTTTTAAGGTAATTGTATCATAAAAAAAAAGATTTATGTGAAATATGTCTAAAGCGAATTTTGACAACTGAACTGCACTTTACAGCAAGAAAAGAACTGCAAAATGTAAGTGACGGAAAAACAAAGGTTGTATCTACCGCTTTGTTGTTTTCGTCAATGTCAACAATGTCAAGGTCACACGACTTTTATTTTTAGCGTGAAACTTGTAAACAACATTGAATTGGAGCAAACAAAAGTAAGGAATAAGTTCTGATCATCTTTATTGAAGATTGTATCAAAATCCTTGGTCATCCGACATTTATATCTATGGAATTGACACCATGGTAAATTCTTCAACTTTTCTGCGCATGCGTACAATAAAGAGAAGAAGTGAAGCAATATTTTTGTGATGGGGCAAACTAAAATTTTTTTTACTTTTATTTTTCTCCAAAAAAGTAGATTTTTTAGGTTCTGAAACCTGTAATTTTCTGAAACCAAGTATCTTCAAGAATTGAACAAAATTTGCATGTGTCATCCAAAAATTCTACTTTTGTCAGTTTTCCCCTTTTTCCGTCACAGTGTCACTTCAAAGAGACTTCCACAGTTTATTACATAGTGCCATTGTGACCTTTCGATTGGATAAATATTTGTGGTTTACCATAGCAAAACATGGGACACTGCCATTCTTTCTATAATATTGGGGATACCCATCTCTCATCATTCACAACTCATATCACTGAATAAAATTTAATGAGACTTTCACAGAATCTTTATTACATAGTGCCATTGTGCACCATTTTGATCAGACAGGTATTTAGGGTTTCCAACAGCAAAACATGGACTGTGCCATTATACTTATATGGAGGCAGAGGTATCATTTTGTGAGCTCAGTTCTCACAGTACCTCTGGTTAAGCATGCAATTTATAATTGATCAAGCTATTAAATATGATGCAATCTTGCCCTTTCATAAAGAGCAGTAGCTTGATTTAATAGAAATTGAATAATTGTTTAAAAAAAAAGATTTTTGACTTTAAAAATTGAAACTTGATTGGTTTTGAATCAAATTATTCCAATTAAAGTATAACATGTCTGTTGATTCCTCCTCTCCCTTTGCCCCCTTTCCATTACCCCATTACACCCCCAACCATCCCCCATCTGCTTAGTCCAATCCAAATTCAGTAATTTTTTGCACAGACATCTCATTTGATAATGCCATTACCATAGAGTGATAATATCAAATTAAATGTTTGAATATATTGTATTTTTGTAGATCAGTTCCTTGTTGCTGGAAGTGATCATTATTTATACAACAGAACCTTGAGGTCACCAAGACATTTGTTCTATGGAACATCATGTTTGTCATTGGACGTGGCAAAAGTACATCTCCATCCGTACTCGGCATCATTCCTGTTAATCAGCTCAAGCTACTCATCGGAAACTCTTCTGGAAATCGATGACTTCAATTTGTTAAACAGCTCATGGCAACGTTATGAAGTGACGGTGTATAATTATTATTCTGGAGCTTACTTAAATTTCTCTGCAACGACATTCCAAGCTTATATTGCTATAGATAATGTAAAATTAACGACTGGAATGTGTTCATCTGGTACGTATTTTATCACAGAAGTAACACAGTTTATAATAGTTACTATATTTACATGTACTATACACATCAGAACTTTTTCTTTGATAATGTAAAAGTTTTGTAATGTTAATATATCCTGTAAATCTATTTGTGAACAAAAAAGGTGCAAAATGAGTTGTTTAGCTTTCCTCCATCATACATGAGCTGAAGAGTAAGTTGCGAAAGAACATTTCAAATGGTTGCACTTCTCATAACAATAACAAATTAATTAGCTTATAACTGCTAATTTTTGTAAGTATTGCTTTTTTATGTTGATGTTATTTATTTGACATCATGTTTTCTTCAGATCAAACAACAACAAGCTACCCTTTTACGGGATTTCCCCAGACCACATCGCCTTGGTACTGGACACCATCACCTACAACCCAGATTCCTACTGTAACAGATTCCCAAAGTTGTTACATACAAAGATACTATTACGTAGAACCAACATCACCTCCCACGTATTCTTTTATTCGTAATTCAAATGTAGAGTGTGAGGAATATTGCTTGAATGTAACTGGTTGTTATATTGCAGTGTTCTACTCGTATAATAGTACATGTATGATTTACCACTACTTCCCTGCTTTCCAAATATCATCACTGAATGTAACAGTTGGCCTTAAAAACTGCTCAAGTAAGTGTGGTGTTAAATGATTCTGTTCAATCAAAAAATGTATTATATTTCATATTTTCAATTTTTGATCTTATGTATGAAATAATTTTTTTTTTAAGTGAATGGAATTTTATCCACAACAACATCTAGATATTGGACATCAACAATGCAGCCTCCTCGACTAAATATGAGCTGCTTTATGTCAAAGTATTACAGTTTTGAACTGGCAGCCACCCCAAATAATACATATGAAAATTCTTCCGAAGACGATTGTGAGAAAATCTGTAGGAATGAGAACTGGTCCTGTGTTATTGCGGTGCACTTCTATCAAAATGATACGTGTATGCTGTACAAATACTTGCCAGAATTTGAAGCGTTAGTGCCCTCATCATCAAATGCAACAGTAATGTACTTCAGTTGCTCATGTACGTATATCTGAATCTGTCTTCTTCGCATAAAAAACATTGCTGCTACTTTGCATGTTCATCAGATTCTTTACTTGAAAATCATTTAAAATCTTGCAGTCAATGAGACAACAAAACATCAAACAACTTCATACCCATGGGGAACTCCAACCCCTGCACCTAATCAAACAACTATATACCCATGGTGGACACAAAGCCCAGCACCTAATCAAACAACTTCATACCCATGGTGGACAACACCTGCACTTAATCAAACATACCCATGGAGACCAACACCTTCACCTAATGGAACAACTGTTTACCCATGGTGGACACAAAGCCCAGCACCTAATCAAACAACTTCATACCCATGGTGGACAACACCTGCACTTAATCAAACAACCACATACCCATGGAGACCAACACCTTCACCTAATGGAACAACTGTTTACCCATGGTGGACACAAAGCCCAGCACCTAATCAAACAACTTCATACCCATGGTGGACACCAACACCTTCACCTAATCAAACGATAAACTACCAAACAACTATATATCCAACAATAGGTAATGTTAAAAATGTTGGAAGTGGTGCAAGGTATCACAGCTTACTTGATGTGATGATCTATAGTGTCTACAGTTGAACTTTCATATCTCAGTCATATCTCAGATATCATGGATATGTCAAAGTTAGTTGGAAGTCCAAACTACTATTTCTTTATATATTTTAACTTCATTATCTCAAATTTTGGGATGTCTCCAATTTTTAGCTCACCTGAGCTGAAAGCTCAAGTGAGCTTTTCTGATCACATTTTGTCTGTAGTCCATCTAGCTGTCCGTCTGTCTGTCTGTAAACTTTTCACATTTTCGACTTCTTCTCCAGACCCACCGGGCCAATTTCAACCAAACTTGCCACAATGCATCCTTGGGTGAAGGGGATTCAAGTTTATTCAAATGAAGGGCCACACCCTCTTCCAAGGGGAGATAATTAAGAATTGGCGAAAATTTGATGTCATCTTTTAAAAATCTTCTCAAAAACTATTGGGCCAGAAAAGTTGAAACTTATGTGAAACCTTCATTGCATAGTGTAGATTCAAATTCAAAAGATCAACAAAGCCAAGATTAGTCATATTGATATGGAATCAACCTCAGGTACATGTAGTGTAGATTCAAGTTTGTTCAAATCATGACCCCCGGGAGTAGGGTGGGGCCACAATGGGGGATCAAAGTTTTTCATAGAAATATTAAAAAAAATCTTTAAAAATCTTCTTCTCAAGAACAACAAAGCCACAATTAGTCATACTGATATGGAATCAACCTTAGGTAGTGTAGATTCAAGTTTTTTCAAATCATGAGGGTAGGGTAGGCCACAATGGGGGATCAAAGTTTTACATAGGAATGTATAGGAAAAATTTCTAAAAATCTTTTCAAGAACAGGAAAGCCATGATTAATTATATTGATATGGAAACATCCCCAGGTATTGTAGATTCAAGTTTGTTCAAGGCATCCTCCAGTAGTAGGGTTGGGCTATAATGGGGGATGAAAGTTATACAAAAGAACATTTATAGGAAACATCTTTAAAAATCTTCTTCTCAAGAACAACAAAGCCATGATTAGTCACATTGATATGGAAGCATCCTCAGGAAGTGTAGATTCAAGTTTGTTCAAATCATGACACCCCCCCCCCCCCCGGGTAGGGTGGCAGACATTTTTAAAATTCCTTTTTCAAGAACAGCAAACCCATGATTACCGGTAGTTATATGAATATAGATGCATCCTCAAAAAGTTAAGATTCAATTTTATTCAAAACATGGCACCTGGGGGTAGGGTATGCCTAGAACAGGCGATCAAAGATTTACATATGAATACATATATATAGGAGAAGAAATCTGCTGACGAAGAACAGCAGGGCCATATTGACGCAGGTGAGCATTGTGGCCCATGGGCCTCTTGTTTTTTCTTTCCATCAAATTTGAGATAAATGTAGGTTTGACAGTATATTAAAGAATAAATGTTACTTTCTTGCTCCAAAGTTCATTTATTTTAACAAGATGTTAAAAAATCCAAATTTCTTGATTGGCTGATAAATCGCTAACTTGCAAAGTCTGCCATAAAGACATACCCTTGCAATGTAAATATCAAATGTTTCTTTGAAAGGGGATGGGGGTGGGATTTGAACCTAGGTGCTAAAAGACTTGTTCTATTGATAGCTTTTTAAGCAATTGACTAAATTGAGCTATCTATTCCCTTACAGTAAACAGTGCTAAACCTTGTATAAGATGAACAAGAAGACAATTATTTTGTTGGGATTATTTATATATTAGCTCATCTGATTCACATTTGGCTCACATGATTCACATTTGGCATAGAAGTTCAAATGAAGAGTTACACCTCTTGAAAGGGGAGCTAATCAAGTAAAGGCAAAAATAGAATGGGTGTCTTAAAATTTTCTGAAGAACAACTGAATCAGAAAAGATGAAAGTTATGTGAATGCCTCCTGGCATAGTGTAGATTAAAATTTGCTCAAATCATGGTCCTGAGGGTTGGGTCACAATAGGAGATAAGTTTTGAATGTATAAAGGTAAAAATCTTTAAAAATGCTCTCAGAAACAGAAGGGGTACATACGTTTTATATGCAAGCATCCTCAGGTAGTGTAGATTCAGATTTGCTCAAATCATTGTCTCCGGGGGTTAGGGTAGGACAACAATGGGGGATAAATTCATACATATAGGAGACAGTTTTTAAAAATCCTCTTCTCAAGAAAAGCATTGTCATGATTTGTTTTTATAAACATGTAATATAGATTCAAGGTATTTAAATCATAACCCTGGAAAGGGTCACAAGAGGAGATCTTTAAAAATCTACCTCTGAAGAAATACTTGGTCAGAAAGGAAACATGTGAAAGATTTCTATGTAGTATACATTTTAAATTATTCGAATGACACCCCCTCCACCCCCTCCCCCAATGTTCATATTTGACACAAAGATTATAGCCTGTGAATGCATCGTGATCTTGACCCAATGTCATTTGGGCAAGTTCAAGGTCACTGGCCAAAAATATGAAATTTATTTCTGGTCCATAATAAGTAAGTTACTAGATTTAACAAAGAAAAATTTGTCAAAATGCGTAGAGAGTGGGGGGGAGAGAGATTGAATGAAAATAAATTTAGCATTGTAAAGTAGTTTACATGTAATGTTGTCAATTCCATGTTTGAGAATTATGAAGATCGTTTATTCTTTGAATAATTTTTTAACAGATGAATCTAATTTAATATATTGTGATTTTGAATCATCATCCTGGACCTACGATTCACGCTGCGGCCTCTCTCAGTCCACCAGTGATCGGTTTGATTGGACCCGTAGGATGGGATCCACATCAAGTACTTCTACAGGTCCATCAAGTGCTGCTGAAGGGTCCTATTATCTTTATATTGAGACATCATCACCCAGGATAAACCAAGACAATGCTGTTTTATACTCAAAGTATATAGATACAGGTATGTATAAAACTACTGGTCAGGCAAACATCCAAAACTCTGATGTTTTCCTGTAAGATTTAAAAACCATATAAACTCACCTATAAGTCAGATTTTTAGGAGTTAAATTTTTGGTCCAAAACTCTATGTCAGACTTATAAGGGAGTACTCGAAAATTGGGTATTTTTCTGAAAGAGGAAATATGATTTTGTGTCAACTCAAAGGATAATCATTTATGAAGGTCAGAACTTAATCTAATGCAAGAATATTAGATCTAAGGTTGCCATACATGTATGCATAAAACACTTTACAGATTCTAACAATCTTATATAATCTTGTATACCGTATGATGGGAATTTTCTGCGATTTTCAAACTTTTAATGAAAGGACAAATCTGCAAAAATTACAATCGCAAAATACTTCAATATTAATTGAGATTTTTAAATAATTTAATTCTGATTGTAATGCGCCATTTGATTGGATAAAAAATTTACCTTATATCGTATAAATTGGGTTGCCTTCGTCACAATGACTTGCGTCAAAAACGTATCGATCCGCCTGACGTTACATTTAAATTTTGTACAATTTAAAGTCATTTTCTTAAGGGCAACCATCTCTCTTATTACACTAAATGAATGAAAATTAAATTATAAGGAATGAAATTAATGGCTACCTAATTTATACAGTATAAAGTGGGTTGGAACAGTTTACGCTTTTTTATAAACCGCTTCTTGGTTTATAAAGCGTAAACTGCCCCAACCCACTTTATACTGTATAAATTGGGTAGCTATTAAATTCATTCCTTAAATGCAAGTCTGATAAATGGTACATATGTTAGTCCACCTGGTTTAATATTATTTCATAACTTCTTACTGCATATTTTAAAATGAAAGAATTATGCTTACAGATGTATGTCATAAAAAGGATTTGAAAATAATATATGAAGACAAACTACAAGATAGTAGTGCTTAGTATCAGTTCTCTTGCACCTTTGATCAATATATCTTGAAATGAATTTATAAAACGTAAACATGGCAGTGTTCTGCCAAATCCTTAGAATTTGGTGATCATATCTGGTAAATAAATTTTTGCAGTATAATGCAACCGCAGAAATTGAAAACACAGAAATTAATTTGCTACCTTTCAAGGGTCAAATTACAAAAATTTCCAACCGCAGAATATACCTATTATAGGTATTGGTTCAAAATGTTAATAAAAATCATATATCTATGTCATACCCCAAAACATACTTTGAATCACAGGTAACAAGCTAATTCACAGAATTTGTATCCCCTGCTTAGGGAAAAAAGAAGACCATGTGCATTGGGGAGGGGGTCGGACCCTTCTGGCTGGATTTGCAGAATTATTAAATGTATACATGTATATTGAAGCAGATAAAAAATGTCAATATGGATATAAAGATTTGATTGTTATTCTTTGATATGTGTGTCACTGTATAGAAGATTCTTTTTATATACTAGAATATTTATCACACTGTAATAATGATTTTATGAGAAGTTTATACACGCCAGACATCATAACTTTTTCATTTCATACGTTGAATACTATTATTTAGTAAATCAAAAAAAAAAAACATCGTGACCGTCCGGGATTTAAACCAGGACCTCTCACTTGCTAAGTTAGAATTATACCCCTAGAACAATGAGGCACTTGATTGTACATCAAATTAAATGCAAACATTAGGTCACATATAATGTTTATATTCACGTTCCATATTGTCAAAATTTTACACAATACATGGTGCCTAATTTAGCCTTTACTAAATTAATATAAAGTCCGCCGACAACCTGTATTATATGCAATAACTCTCCATATGCCCCTGTGCTAAAAGTGCCAAGCAACTTTTAAAAAAAATAACGGGGCGGGACACTTTGAGAGGGGAGAGAGAGGCCACAGGGAGTTATGGTATGAATTATTGCAAAAGCACAAAAGCTTCTTGAGATATTGCCCGGAAACTAAAGTGTTACACACAGACAGACAACCTTGAACTTTGACCTTTTGACCTCAAAATCAATAGGGGTCTTCTTAACCCACAAGGAGTTGTTATTTAAAATTTCATTGCAAAGGCTCAAAGGCTTCTCAAGATATCGTGCAGAAACGAAAGTGTTAAGCAGACATAATTTATGAATTTATGGCCTTGACCTTTGACCTTTTGACCTCAAAATCAATAGGGTTCTTTTTTAGGCCATAGGGAGTTGCTTTGTAAAATTTCATTGCCAAAGCTCAAAGGGTTCTCGAGATATTGCGCGGAAACGAAAGTGTTACAGACAGAAATACAGATGGACAGATGGATGGATGAACAGACAGACTGAAATTAATATTGAATAATAATAGTAAAGCAATATGAGCTGCATTTTTGAGAATTTTATTTTGCTGTTAAAATGTATTTATTATGATAAATTTGTATGTAATTTAAAACTTTTTTGATCAATTGGACAGAAATAAAGTATCAAATTGTTTCAGAATAAAGGATTCTGTACAATCAATTATATAGTATTATATAAGAAATCAATATTGTACAGGACGACAATAATGTAATTTTGCTTCAATCAAAGCTATCACCAATATGAACAACAGAAGTCTATATACGTTCTTTTTTTTTTGTCATTGAAACAGTTAATTACAATTTTGCAACAAAAATTTCTGACATCAAAGTTGCAGCTCATATTGCTTTAATACTAAAATTAATATCCCCCACTTTCAGTGAAAGGGGGGAGGGGGGTACAATAAAATATTAATCTAAAAAAAACTTAAGACTTACATATTGGTCGAGTCAATGGCTGAGTCAATGGCAAATAATGTGAAAAAATATACTGAAACGCAAAAGAAACGCAACAAGCAGTAATCTACAAATATTTGAATTTTTTATTTAATGATTTTCAAAAATGAATACAGTAAGGTTAAACTCGATTTAAAAACATTGGAGATTTGATAAAAGTGTTAAATGATTATCTTTTAACTTTAGAAAATAACTCTTGACTGTTAAAACAACTCCCATCCAGGCCATTCAATAACAGCGTGCAAGACTGCCATGCACAACAATTGCAGCTTGATTTCTACGATGCAATAGGTTCATCAATCTCGAAATCTGAGCGAAAGAAATATTCTTTGTCATTTTTAAATGCCTGTTTTTAAGATGACGAGGTCGAATTTCCTCTAGCCTAGCACAGTGTAGTACCCTTGGACTTCCGGTCCAAGGACTGTCATTCATGCTAATGATATGTAAGAGCCTCTTGAGGCGTGATGTATTGCATATTTGCATCTGCAACTCTCCATCACCTTTCTTTTGAGATTTTCCAGCTAGAGCATTGGAAATGCGTACTTAAGTCATTTTCAGGAAGCCTTGGCATAGCTTACGGAAAAGAAAGGATAATTTATTTTTCGGAATATTGCTGCATTACTAATGATGAACAGATGCAAACCATTAAACCCCCATATTATTGCCAAATGTTTTGTTAAACATGCAATTTTTGATTTCTATTAAGCTGACTCAAACTTAACTTCCGGTAATGGTATGAAAATCATTCAACCGTTAAATTACCGATATTTACAAAGTTGAAGATATCCTTACTTTTTAGATACAAAATTATATCCTATATATAATATTTCCCCCTAAAATAGGTTGTTGCGTTTCTTTTGCGTTTCAGTATATAACTGACTAGTAAGCAAGCAGACTTATAGGCAAGTATATACTGTAATGCAAATTAATAAAGCAAGTAAATTAAAGAAAAAGTACCTTTTTTTCATTTCTAGGTGATGGAGCATGTCTTTACTTTCAATATCACATGTATGGTGCTACAATAAACACACTAAACATCAACGTTTCCACTAATGGCTTTGACAATCAGGGAATTTGGTGGCGGTATGGCAACCAAGGAAATATGTGGCACCAAGCTGCCGTGAACTTGCCCAGAAGCTCTTCATTAAAGGTTTGTTGTATACTGAATTCTCAGAGAAGCTCAAGAGTATTCTGAGAAACTTAAGCTGGAAATATTTCAATTGCTTGTAAGTTGCACAAAAACCAATTGCAACAAAGTCAGATATTAAGGCTGATACAGAAGTGTCATAATTTCGTGTAAAAAATTTTGTTAGTTTTTTTTTTTTACTCACCTGAGCTGAAAGCTCAAGTGAGATTTTCTGATCACCTGTTGTCCATAGTCCATCCGTCTTTTTGTCCATCCATCCGTTTGTAAGCTTTTCACATTTTCAACTTCTTCTCTAGAACCACTGGGCCAATTTTAACCAAAGTTAGTACAAAGCATCTTTGGGCAAAGGGGAGTTAAAATTATTAAAATGAAGGGCCAAGCCCCCATAAAAGGGGAGAAAATCAAGTAAAGACAAAATTAGGGTGGGGTCATAAAAAAATCTTCTTCTCAAGAACCACTGGGCCAGAATAGCTGAAACTTATGTGAAAGCATTCTGGGGTAGTGTAGATTCTAAATTGTTCAAATCATGACCTCAGGGGGTTGGATGGGGCCACAATATGGAATAAAAGTTTTACATTGAAATATATAGGAAAATTCTTTAAAAATCTTCTTCTCAAGAACCACTTTGCCAGAAAAGCTGAAACTTATGTTGAAGCATCCTGGGATAGTGTAGATTCTAAATTGTTCCTTGGGTAGTGTAGATTCTAAATTGTTCAAATCCTGACCCCAGGGTAGGGTAGAGCCACAATAGGGAATCCCAAGTTTTATATTGAAATTCAATGGAAAAATATTTAAAAATATCTTCTTCTCAAGAACCCCTGAGCCAGAAAAGCTGAAACTTATTTGGAAGCTTCCTGAGGTAGTATAGATTCTATATTGTTCAAATCATGACCCCAGGGGATAGGGTGGGGCCACAGTAAATATTACAAGAGGGAAAATCTGGTGAAGAACAGCAGGACCAAAGTTACTCAGGTGAGCATTGTGGCCCATGGGCCTTTTGTTTTCCAACTCATGTAGTTGGCATCATTCCAAAACAGAGTGGGGGATACATATGTAAGTTAAGGCTAGGTATAGGCGTTTCTATGCAAATGAGCTGATAAAAAAGCGTAAGAGGTATATTTATTATTCAGAGAAAGTGTTGATTTATTTTCTTATGCATACTTAGTACCAATGATATGTTATAGCCAGTACACACTATGACGTAATATTATGATGTCACTGGTCTTACCTACTGGAGGTAATAAAACACATCAACAAAACAGTTTCGGCGCAAGGGATTACCCTATTTCTACATTAAAAATGTATAATGCTAAGAAGAATATTCTATAGATTAATAAAACTGCTGCACAAATCCTAGGCATTTTCTCATTTGATCAGAATTTGAGGAAACTTATACCGGACTGTACATTTTTACCCTTTTTCAACTTAAAACTTTACAAATAGAAATTATACAGCTGAGCTGTTGATATTTGTGCAGCAATACCAGCAAACTTTGGAATATTTTGCTTCTAAATATACCTTGTTTCAGTTAAATAAAATAGAGCATGCCCTTGCGCCGAAGCTTTGTTGTTGAGATCCATTATAATCTTGTGTAGTAAAGAACAATGACGTCATAATATGACGTCATAATTTGTACTGGCTATCTCACATCATGGGTATCAAGTATGTATTAGACAATAAGATTTAATTTTCTCTGTATAATAGATATAGTCCTTAGGCATTTTAATTAGATTATTTGCATAGAAATGGCTATACCTAGCCTTAACTCACCTGCGTAGCTGAAGTTAGTTTATGTGCAACTTGCAGTAAAGCTGAAAGATAAGTAACCTAAGGATAGTTGAATCATTTCCAGCTATTCCCCCCCCCCCCCCCCCCCCACAAAATTTTGGGAAAATTTCCTATCGGGGCATAAAATGACACTTCTATTAATCCATTAGTAAATCCTCTCTTTTTAACTCACCTGAAACAAATGGTGAGTTATATTATATGCAAGCATCCTCAGGTATTGCAGATTCAAATATGTTCAGATCTTGGCCCCCACAGGTATAAAGGGTAGGGCCAAAATGGGGGAACAAAGTTTTACCTGGGAATAAAGGAAACATCTTTGAAAAAAAAATTCCGTAACAACTAGGCTATGATAAGTCTTTAGAATATGGAAGCATCCTCAGGTAATGCAGATTCAAATTTGTTTATATCATGGCCGCGTGGGGATAGGATGGGGTCCCAATAGGAGATCAAAAATATATAGGGGTAAAAATCTTTGAAAATCTTCCTTCAAGGAAAGCAGGACCCTTAATAGTGAAATTGATATGCAAGCATCCTTAGTTAGTGAAGATTTAAGTTTGTTCAAATCAGGGCCTTAGGAGACATAGGATAGGACCATAATAAGGAATTAAATATATGGGAACAATCTTCAAAAATCTTCCTTTGAAGAACAGCAGTTCCAAAATTTAGTCATTTACACTGTAAATATGCAAGCAACCTCAGATAGTGCAGATATTTTGGTCAATCCAGTTGTATCCCTCTTGCAAAGTCTTTACATATTATTTTGCATTATGCAACAAAGTTTCAGATTACCTGTTGTTTTTCCCCCATACCATGTGTTTGTCTTGGTCTTGTAGATGCAACACCTGTTTTTCAGGCATTTATGAATCCAAATGACAGAGATTAATTGTGTTCAATTCCAGATAAAATTTGAAAAAAATCAAGTAAATAAAAACATCACAAATTTCACTTAATTTTCTTGGGGGAAAAACAACTCAAATTGGGAAAAATCAGGAATTTTTGCTGGGGGAAAGGCCTATGTTTGAACCTTAATTGGGTGTAGAAAAATCATTGCAGGTGAGCATTATGTCCAGTGGGCCTTTAGTTATCCTTAAAGATTTGGTGAAAGTGAGAAACACAGTTAAAGCAAATTTGGATATTTCTCAAAAAATAAAATTTACACTTAAAAAAAATATTAATAAAACCAGTTTGTGTGTGTAGCAGCACCTCCTCTGGTAGTTTGCTTACTACAGGTTTGACTGTATTTCAGATTTTCATAGAAGCAATGTCGGGTTCCAGCTTCACAGGTGATATAGCCATTGATAAAGTGATTGTAAGAAATGGATCGTGTGAAGGTGAGCTTGAAATAATATATTAAAGGGGATACAGGACACGTGACACAATTGATTAAGCCATAAACCCTATTAATAAACATGCTAAAAACATTATTTAACTCACCAGTAGTATTTTTGTACAAATTGTTGTGCTTCATCATCATAAATGAAAATATTTCAAAGTTAACATTCATATCAATATTTACAAATTGTGAAAAAGATTGATACAATCCCTTGTTTCCGGTACACTGCACATCTAACAAGTCAATGATGACATAAATAATCTGTTAGTGAAGCAAGATCAAGTACATGTTGATTACATGGTCAACTTAATTATATGAAACAGGTGGTTTTCAGCCCATTTTGAGATATTAAAAGAAAGAGGAAATACAATCAAAATTTTTGCTTGGATGATTTTGTATTTAAGTCAAGTTGCTTGCAAAGGCTTTCATATGACATCAGTTGTTCTTCCCACACTCAGAAAATGTAAACATACAGCGTTTCACGATTGTGTTAAACAATGTCATGTGCAATATTGGGGTAAGCTTCACCTTTCGATATTTCTACAGTTAATTATTATACCCCCCAAACAAAGTTTGGGGGGTATATTGGAATCAGCATGTCCATCTGTCTGTAGACAGGACTATTGCTTGGATTTGTCTGAAATCTTGTACACTCCTTATTCACCATATAAAGATGTGCACCTGGTATTTTCATTGCGATTGAATAATTTTTCTGCATTTTACAGGTTTTTTTTTCTATTTATTGGCTTAGTCATTTTGGGTTCATATAGGTTTGAGACATTGAATCCAGAACTGCCAGTTGGTACATCTGTACAAAATGTGAATTGCATTTTATAACCAGTCATTAAATTAAAAAAAAAAATCCCTGGTCTCCTTCTTCTTGTGGACTTTGAAAAGGCATTTGATTCCGTTTCTTGGTCTTTTATTAAAAAATCACTCAGTTTCTTTAATTTTGGAAAGTCTATAAGGAAACAGGTTTGTTTGTTTTATTCAAATATTACATCAGCAGTAAATCAGGGAGGAAATTTATCAGAAACATTCTCTTTTGGCCGGTTGCGTATCTCGGATTTAAACCTCCGATCAATGATTCCAGGTTTAAATCCAAGTTTACACATTGCACACAGGTAAGGCTTGGCTGAGTACAGCTCAGAATTACGGTAAATTCTGAACCTGGTATAGGGGTGGTTTAAACCCAGCTTGATATCGTTTCCATGGATTTTTGGTAGAATATTTTGATATTTTGAACTGTTTTGATGTTCCAGAAATGTTTTATGGTGACGATGATTGTATTGAAAGATTTTGCCATATTAAAAAGGCTATTCTACAAGAAATTTTTTATGGTCATATTGAAGATTTTTTTTGGGCACATTTCTTCAATGTGCTGTTTTATTTAACACTGATGCAGCTGAAGTCTGAAGTTACTAGAAATTTTTAAATGGGAATTTATTCAGGTACACAAATGTAAAATAAACTAGAAACTCATTGCGAGCAATGAGAGGTCTTCCGTCCGATTCTCAAAATAAAAACGAAAATTCAAGCTGAAAAAGTAATAACAGAAATTCAGACACTCTGGAGATTTAACCCTAATCGTCAGCGTGAAAATCCAATGTGCTAACCATTAACTATTCACTTTTTTACATCACTTCCTTTCACGACCGGAAGTAACGGCGATGCAAGATTTTTTCACGATTCAAATAAACTGATGACTGAATATCAGTCCTGAAAGTTTTAGTCCTCAGTCGTTTACTGTTGCCGAACAATATTGTGGGACTAAATTCTAATTTTGAGAACAGGTAAACACACAACCGGAAGTGAATTTTATAAAAATCTCTGACTTTTCTCTAGACATTTGCAGTATCTACAACATGCATAAAATCATTTCAGGTACTTTATCGATAAGCGATATTTATGAGAAAGTTAAATATAAGAATAACGTAGTTTATCTCCTAAAACCGAAAGTTGACGTTTTTGTTTCCGATGGAATCTTACATACATGTATTTCAAAACAGCAAAAGAGATGCAGTAAAGTCATGTAAGTTTTAATTTCAAAAAGAAAAGTTAAATTTTTTTATTTCTTTGATCACTTCCTGTGAGAAGCGGAAGTGACGACTGACGCGATTAACCCAAATGGTTTCTCCTACCCCTCAACGTCCATTACTCTTAAAATTTTGGTGTTTTAATCTTTTACCTGTTTTTGAGATCTCTCTCAGACAACTTCTCATTTTGAGGACAGGAAAACACGCGACCGGAAGTGAAATTTTGAAAAAATATTTAAGGTTACTCTAGACATTTGCACTCTGAATAGTACATTTAAAATTCATTTCAAATACTTTATCTATAAAGAATATTTACGAGAAATTAAAAAACTCAAATTCTTTAGTTTTTCTCTTCTAACCGGAAGTTGTCGAATTTGTTTCCGGTGGGACGAACATCTTTCGAATCTGCGAAAAAGATGCAATAAAGTGATGCAATTTTTAATTAAAAAAAGAAAAGTTGAAATTTCTGTTTTCTTTGATCACTTCCTGTGACGACCGGAAGTGACGACTGACGCTCTTAACCCAAATGGTTTTGCCTACATCCTAAGGTCTGTTGCTCATAAAAGTTTGGTGTCAAAATCTCTTACCGTTTCCGAGATCTTGCTCACACAACTTCTCATTTTGAGAACAGGAAAACACGCGACCGGAAGTGAATTTTACAAAGATATTTGACGTTACTCTAGACATTTTTAGTCTGAATGACATATCTAAAATTCATTTCAAATACTTTATCTACAAAAGATATTAATGGGAAAGAAAAATACTCAAAACATGTAGTTTTTCTCTTATAACCGGAAGTTGACGTTTTTGTTTCCGGTAGGACCAACATATTTCGAAACTACAAAAGAGATCCAATAATGTGATGTAAGTATTGATTTAAAAAAGGAAAGTTGAAATTTTACGATTTCTTTGATCACTTCTGTAAGCGACCGGAAGTGCCGACGACGAACGAAAAGTAGCGACCTGGCTAGTACCTATCACGAACTATAATCCCTGAAAGTTTGACATTGATATCTCTTGTCGTTCTTGAGATTATCCGCGGACAAAATGTCATTTTGAAATCAGAAAATGGTCTGTAACTTGGCACCGGAAGGAAATTTCCAAAAAATCTCTCAGATAGATCAAGTTCATGTTACAACAAACTTTTCCTGAAAATTTCATGTAAATCCATCCAATAGTCTTCGAGAAATCGCGTGCACAAAATTAGAAAGTCAAAAAAATAAGAATAAGAATAATAATAATAACTAGAAACTCATTGCGAGCAATGAGAGGTCTTCCGTTCGAATCTGAAAATAAAAACGAAAATTCAAGCTGAAAAAGTGATAAAAGAAATTCAGACACTCTGGAGATTTAACTCTAATTGTCAGCGTGAAAATCCAACATGCTAACCATTAACTATTCACTTTTTTACATCACTTCCTTTCACGACCGGAAGTAACGGCGATGCAAGATTTTCTCACGATTCAAATAAACTGATGACTGAATATCAGTCCTGAAAGTTTTAGTCTTCAGTCGTTTGCTGTTGCCGAACAATATTGTGGAACTAAATTCTAATTTTGAGAACAGGTAAACACACAACCGGAAATGATTTTTATAAAAATCTCTGACTGTTCTCTAGACATCTGCAGTATCTACAACATACATAAAATCATTTCAGGTACTTCATCGATAAGTGATATTTATGAGAAAGTTAAATATAAGAATAATGTAGTTTATCTCCTAAAACCGGAAGTTGACGTTTTTGTTTCCGGTGGAATCTAATATATTTCAAAACAGCAAAAGAGATGCAATAAAGTCATGTAAGTTTTAATTTAAAAAAGAAAAGTTAAAATTTTTGATTTCTTTGATCACTTCCTGTGACAAGCAGAAGTGACGACTGACACGTTGAACCCAAATGGTTTCACCTACCCCTCAACGTCCATTACTCTTAAAATTTTGGTGTTTTAATCTTTAACCTGTTTTTGAGATCTAGCTCAGACAACTTCTCATTTTGAGGACAGGAAAACACGCGACCGGAAGTGAATTTTTGAAAAAAAATATTTAAGGTTACTCTAGACATTTGCACTCTGAATAGCACATTTAAAATTCATTTCAAATATAGTCCAGTCAATTTAGTCCTAAAACACCCTAACCTTAAACAAATTGCAACAGAAATTATTCCAGTAGAATTTTGTTATTTATAATGTGCCTTTTGATATATCAAAACTCTAGAAAAATATATTTGTCCAAACATCACTTTTTTCAGTTTTCAAAAAACCCGATTTTTGTTCAAAAATGCCGATAAATCACTGTTTAAAAAGACACTCTATATATGCATAAAAATAGTTTTGCCATCTATATGATCTTGAATTTTCTTGATAGGTCATGCAGAAATGAATCCTGCACACTGAAACTGGTAATTATTTCATTAATTGTTATGAATTCCTATTTCCATGGCAACGGACATAATTGAAAAATAAAACTATTCCAATTCCTCAGTATGGCTTTGTGTAGGGATAAAGAATATGTAGCCATAGTAGGAATGACAAGTTTTATTGTTAAAATAATTTTTTTTTAAATTATATATAGGGGACAATTAAGCACTCATCCCAGGAATTTTTATCAGGGGTGGGGGGTGGAGGGGGAGGGTTCATATTAAATATCACAGATGTCAAGTCTCGGAAGTTTTCTGACAAGCAAATATAAATAAATAAATAAACAAATAAGTAAAAGGAAATGAAAATAAATAAAATTAATTGCCTCAAACTTAAAAACCTTTTCAGAGGAGAAGGGAGGGAGGGGGGTCTCTTTTCATAATGCACACGACTTCTTGCCTTTTAAATAAGTGTCCCGGGGAATGGGTTCATAATGCACATGACTTGTTGCCATTTTAATAAGTGTCCTGGGGAAATGGGTTCATAGACATGTTTTTGTTACTT